AAGTGTTTCATACAAAAATGCGAAAGCGCGAGAGAGTGCTGTTGAACTAGAGATACGAAGTTTTGCGACATGATATTTTATAAACTACTCGAAGCGGTCGTGAAGTGTAGATTTTCTGTTATCTGATCCCTTAACCGACAGTCAGCTTAAGGTTTGACAGTGAGGTAAAGGTAGAACTGGGTCATTCATGAACCTTGGTAAAATTTCATGTTTGTACATTGGAATTTTCATTTTTTTAATGTGTGTTTAACGTCGCGTCAGTTGCATATGCGTACATAGTTATTAACCCCTTGTGTTATGATTTTCTTGACGACTACAATCCCTCGAATTACTTTAACGTTAATAATTTCCTAGACAAAAAAGGAATTTTTTACTTATTGCAAGTGTATAGATACTCTAGGAGTCACTTATTAAGACTGTAGAGCCTCCCGTATCCGAAAATCTATTATACGAATATACCATTCGTTATATTTCTTCTGTTCCATCGAATTCTAGGCAATTACTTGTGTTGAAAAAGTAATGTGATATAGCAGTCAACTGTTTTATTTATCTGTATTTAAATAAATGAAGTTCAGTATCAGGAAACTGTAATATTAGGTGTACCAATAAGTAATCCACTATTTCTGTTTTTAATTACGATACGATATATTCTGAAATAAAGTATTTTGTTAACCTTTAATTGAGTAATAATGATGCAAGGTGTCGAGACATCATTATGAATGTAAATGAAACAGCAGAAAGTCTTGATTTCCATGGGAATGAACACTGACTGCGTCAAGAAATAGTGGATTACTGATTTCTACACCTAATATGACTGAATTCAAGCCGAGGAAAATTGATACATGAGTGGGAAGGGGCTAACCAAAACCTATTGGTGTTAAGATGTATTTATCCACTTCAGTAAAGCCATTAAGCTTGGAACCAATAAATGGATACCAGTAAAAGCATTTACAATTATTGTATCTGTGTCAATCATTTTAGAATCTGCTTTGTTTTATCGATACAATTTCATTCTTGATATTATTGTAAGTAACACATTTTCGTTTTGTTCAGTATACTTATAGGCGCCAAAGGAGGAACCTATAAATCCCCACCGTTGGACATCATTGAATCGAGGGATGTTAATTTCACATGTCAAACTGTTACCTGCTCGATAGTAGTACAACTATTTAATTATTATTTATAGAATGCAAAATAATCAATTCTATAGTCAATCGTCGATTGGTAATAAACAGCTACACTGTCAGAAAAAGTTCTTCAGATATGTAGTCGATAAATTCAAGGAAATAGAGATTCCTTTGTTAAACAAACAAGTGTGATTTTTTTTCAGTTTCTCTGCACAACGCAAATAACGAAAATCGTATAAAAATCTTCATTATATTCTTCTGATAATATTTTCTCGAGGTTAAGATGATTGTTCAATTTTTCTAAATATTCCTGGTACTTTTTAAAACTTATAAATCATTTCATACATTTACGATATTTGCGGAATAAAAATTCCAGTCAATACTTATGAATAAACAAAGTTATTTATATAAAGGTACTTTGGTTTATTTTTGAAAATATTGAGATATAAATACGGAAGAACTGATTATTATAATTATTTATTTGCTTTGTAGGGGTGAAAATAGAATGTAACACGAGAATTTAACCAAAGAAGAAAACGAATATTGTAAAAAATGGAAAAAAGTGGCACGAATTCTCACGTTTTCAATATTTTCAATTATTGAAACAAAACCACGCAGGAGGGTTTATAGCGTGACAAGAAAAAGGTTAAAAATGGGACGGAAAAATGTCAAATACGGTGTCAACGACGTGTAACGCCGTCGTACAGTGAAATTTTTTCCGTCCAGTATTTCTGCCCCTTCCTGCAAACTTTGCTGTTAGAGAGGAGTTTGCCGCGGAAAAAATTAGAATTTACATTCTAGCTCGTCGAAGTTTCGTTTCAGTTTTCTGAATAAATAAAATCGGGATCACGATGGCAAAACTTTCCCCTTCGCGATATGAAATGAAAATCAGTCTCGATTTCTCATTTTTTTTTTTCGCTACCTACGATCTACGCGCCTGTTTCAATGGCCGCTACTTCCCTTTCATGCGACAGATAAAACGTTAAGTGTTCGATATCGACGCGTCACGTTCTACGTTTCGGAATCGGAAATGTTGTTCTCCTTAATTTTCTAACAAGTCGACGTAATGAAATAGAAGGAATTACATCCGAAGAACGCAGAAATTCTAAAATCCCCCCGGATCTTAAAACAGCGCTCACTGTCGACAAAAACTATGGAAACATAATAAAGTATCTCTAATCAGTTAAATTGTTCAAAGAAATATAAACCAAAGACAAAGCACATTGATCCATAATACCATAATACTAACGCAACCAATACAATAATATAGTAAAAACAACGTATCAAGTCGCTAATAACCTCGTAGTTGATGCGACTCTAAGCTTAGAATTAAAAAAAAAATTACATCCTCTCCGATATAAGCCCCTGTCCGCCATCATAGTCGATAAACTGCGAGACGTACTTCGACGGAGTGTAGCATTAGTTTTCAAAGCGGATTCCACGTTCGGAACAAAATCTTGCATCTGTCTTATTGTTAGTAAGAGAACCTTCTGTGAATAGTAACATGAAGCGAAACACCACGAACTTAATACTTCTTAACAGGGAACTGTGCAGGTGTCTGCTTAATTGAGCCACACCTTTACAGATGTTCTTGCAGTGAATCTTGAATTACAGTGATACAGATGTTTGCATGTGATGTTTCCAATCACGTATGCGGGAAGAATGAGAATTCGAAAAATAAGTAGTACATTTTTTTAACGTACGGTGTGTGGTTATTATACAATTACAATAGGTTTCTACGATTTTTTAAAAAACTTAACTCCAATGCTTCGAAACATATTTGTTTTTTTGTGTTATAAAACAAAGTGTCCTACTAATGGTGATGAACGTAATAGGATGGACAAAGTAGAATATCACAGAAACAGTGAGTATTGGGATAAATGTGCCTTAGTACTTTTATACTTAGAGTTGGTTAGTCTAACCAATTTGACCGAAAACAATTGGACATTCCACTTAAAAAAAGCAATAGTGATGTCAAGATCACCTGTACGCTTCCACCTCTAAAGAAACTATTACCATCATGGTATATCTTCATTACTTTGTTTGAAACAATGGAGATATTTGAGATGGACAGAGTTCATGGAAGATCCTATATATTCTTTAAAAATAAGATTAAGATTAACACAGATTGATAGAATTGAAAATAATAGATATAGTACTGAGGATAAGATATGAATAGATTTTCATATTTTACACAAAAATCTTTATTGCAGATAAGGACTTGAAATGTCAAACTTCAGTTCCAAATGTGTAGGTCAAACTAAGAGACTTTTGGAATTTTCGAAGGAGCTTAATTCTTTTACTCTTTACATAACACAGACAGTTTGTTCAACAAAGCATTATTTAGGGTAGACTTTTAAGTATAAGAAGAGAAATGATGTGTTAGTTTTGATGATTGCAATAACTTTGTTCTAAATCACTAGCTTATTGGCAAACAATTTACATCGGGAACACTTTAGTAGGTTTCGATGTCCAAAAATTAAATCTAACTGATGAACAATGTGAGACATTTTGAATCTGGAAGCTGTCCTTTGCAAATTTGATATCCGCACACGTACATGTTGCTGCCACGAGCATCCGTATAATTTAACATACGAAACGCTGTTACATCTGGATCACCTCTATTTTTTGCTGTATGATTTATTCAAAATTTCTGCCCAACAGCCGCCTGCACGAATCTATGTATAATGCAAGTTTCAGTCGACCATCTTTGCGACATTCTTTTTTGCAAAGAGAGCTACAAGTTCGACCCTACCATATATTCAAGGTAATTCGTACTTGGAATGGTACACATGCAGAAATAGTCCAGATAGCTTAGTGGGCTTTTGGTAACTTTCAATTGACTGCAAATTCAACGATTTGTAAAAAAAAATTAAATAGATTAAGTATTGCTTTTTGATGTAAAAAATGTTTTCATTTTTATATGAATATGTATTACTATTCTTCTATGTGTGCACCCAGCAAGATAAAGTCGTTATTTGTTTAGTACGTTAGTAAATGTAAACACTTTCATAGAAATTATATTTAGATGCATTGGATCAGATAGAAAATATTTGTGAGAACTGTAGCAATATTCAACTAAATTCAAGTGCAAGAATTAATTTATAAAAAAGAATTACGAAATGAGACATAAAGAAAGACAATAAGAAGTACAGACAAAAATACGAAATAAATAAGAATTAAGAATGAGAATAATTATTTCATAAGAAAGCATACAAACACAAAACTGTTGTACATCGCGATTATGCACTACTGTGCTGAAAACGTTATTAAATAAACAGAAGAAAAAATGTTTTCCAAGAAAAATTAGTTCAACATGTAAATTAACCCAGACAGTCAATTATCTTGCATACGACTTTGCATTGCAAAATAATGTGGTAAAAACTAACTTTCAATATGTATATCTTTTTCTTTTGATATACACGAGGTCGTTCCCCACAATATGTATGTTGCCTTATAAAAATACCAATTATTTGCTTTGTTTTAACGATTAACTTTTTAGGAATATTTTTACCAATTACCTAAAGTAACTTAATAACAATAATTTTTGACTGTTACTGTTGGTAATTAGTTAAACGTGTTACTATTTACAAATTTCTTTAAAATTTTCCTCTATTATCCATTTGATATTTACTAAAAATACAAAATTATACTCATTACACCTTTAAGTGAGTATTTAGGAGTTAATGCCGTACATAACATACCATAATTTAATCGCAAAAAATTTACAATACACTTGTTTCGACAATTTTATGACTTCCGCGGGTGTTATACCGCTGTGAAATACAAAGACTTGCAATATATCGAGATACGATCACTCCAAAGTGTAGGAAATCATAAATTTGAAGGAATTGCTCCGAAGAGGGTACTTACTCGGGTCGGGCACGACGGATATTGAAGTGATGAAATGACAGCTCAACGATTTCGTCAGGTTGGCCGACGAAAGTGTAAAGCAGGCAATCGATGTTCGACGGATATTGTTTGGGGTAGTAAGGGGATGTAAATGTGCCACCCTGAGGTCTGTCAGAGCTGCTATAGACAACGCATGAGCAACCTAAAACAAAAATAGCGTTATTATTTTCTCCACAATATATCCAAATATTGTATTACACATAATTAATGATTAATTTTAAAAACGATTCGCTGCATACAAAATTTAGTTACATACTAACTGTAAGTATAATTTACTATTTTTACGGTAACTACAAAAAGCACTTCTCATTTTTTTTATTGCTTTACAAGAAAAGGTATGTGAATGGAGATTAACCTTTCACAGATTTATTTAAAAAAGTTAAAGCTGAAGAAAAGATTTCACACATCTATACAATGTACATTTACGAAACAGAGTACATCAAGTATTAGTACGTAAGTGTAAACGTACGTAAGTACCAAAAAATTGCTTAAGTGATCTTCGAAGTATTGCATCAACTTTTATATTAAAGCAGTACCTAGTTATAAAAATGGAAATAATTTTATTCAGAAAAAATGATACTGATTTATTAAAAGGAACATCTTGCAAGAGTTTATTAGTCGAAACATATCAAAATATATTCAGAAATATCCTGCGCAACACGCGTAAAAATGAACTTCAATAGGAATCAATTAAATAAAGACCGAACAGTTAAAGGTTACATACATACCTATAAATATTCATTCTGATTACATATGAATTATGAAACTGTAGTTAATTTTCATACAGCTCAGTGATATGCAATAAAATGTAAATTACAGGAGTTTTCAATATCGTATGCAGAGCTTGGCGCGGACACAGCGATTTTAATGTGGAAACATCAAAATTTCATGATAATGAAATCCACCATCTGACACTGTCCCGAAGTAATGTCTCACCAAAACTTTTCTTATTTCCAAAATGAACTCGTCACTTCTCGCATCGATCTCCCCCTCGCCCCTTCCACCGACCCTAAACCACGCTTCTTTCTATAATATCGACCTCGCGTCAATCTCGAAGAATCAAATTAAAGTTTGGCTTTTCCATGAAGGAGCGTTACCACAAGGGACCGACAACTTTCGCTGGCAAACTTTCCAACCGAGAGCAACAAAATCATCGATTACTTGGACAGACAGGTCCACGGTTAATGATCGATCGCGAGCAATCGGCGAAACCCTCGTTCGTCGAGGGTCGTCTTCCGTATACCTTTTGTCTCGAGACAGTTGTCCTCGTTTATTATAGTTTCACAAGAGGTGTCGAACTATTAAATAAATTGATTATTTGCAGAGACGATGAAGTACGCTGCTCTCTGTTATCTGGCGTTGGCTAGC